TGAGTACTTGGGGYTCTTAGGATTTTATTTAAAGCACTTCAATAGATAATGTCGTATTATAGCGTACCTTTTATGGAGAATGATATTTTAATTTGGATGAAGTCAAATTTATTGATTTTTTTTCTTTTATTTATCTCACTCTTGGGGTTAGGTCAAAGACTTTTCCAAGTGGTTTTATAGGAGAGTATTTTTTTCTACCTCATACCCATTTAATACTGTGACAAGGGCTGAGAGAGAGAGCTAGATGTAGAAGATGAGTTGTGCTTAGAAGCTCCCAGTTCAGCTTAGACAAGCACACAAACAACAGCAGGACATGAGGAGTACTGTGAGTTCTGCAAAGGCTGTGGGCAGAAGGAGGACAGTTCAAGGGTGAGATGGTTACTTTCCACTGGCAGCACCAGAGAAGGGTACATGGAAGAGACAGCACTGGAACCTTAAGAATTTCAACAGCTGAAGTAGGGCAGGGGAGGAAATTCAAGGAATAAAGAATTGCACAAGCAGAGGAACAAAGTGGGACATAAAAACAAAATCAAAGAAGTGGAAGGAGATTCTCAAGGGAGATTACAAGTTCACTTTAATATATTTCTTTTCACACAGACAAATATATATGTGTATGTATATATATAAATGTGCACGTGTGTATATGTGTGTGTGTATGTGTGTATGTGTGGGACAACAAACATACCACTGTACCCTACTTAAGTTCACTTTTGTTTATTGTTTCCTGAAGTTCACTTTTAGAAATACAGTAATACCAAGGATTCACAGGAGATACAAAGAGGCAGTTTTAGGTAGGTCTGGATTTGGAATTAGGAGTTAAGAGATTTGGGACTCATCAACATAGGTCAGTCTTTTTGCTATATGCCTCACGATAACTTGTGTCACAATTACAATTACGTAATTAGTTGTTTAATCTCTGTCTTCCTGCTAGGATGCCAGACCCATGGAAGCAAAGGCAACATCTGCCTTTTTTTTTTTTTTTTTTTTACTATTTTTTTAGTTGTAGATGGACACAATGCCTTTATTTTTTATGTGGTTCTGAGGATGGAACCCAGTGCCCTCCACATGCAAGGAGAGCACTCTACTACTGAGCTACAACCCCAGCCCCACATCTGCCTTTTATACCTAGCATTTATCCTAGCACTTGGTCTACAATAAACATTCAGTAACTGTTGAATAAATGGATCAAAGAAGTTGATGCTTCTGATGACCACCATTTATTGAATATACACACAGAAGGCCTTATGATATCCACTTTGGATACATAATCTTATTGAAACCTCACAGTAATCTCATGAGAGGTAGGTCAAAGGCTCTGAAACCTAGATTTTAGAATGGGTGTAGTGGAAGGCCTAAGAATCTGAGTTTAAGTTCTCAGGTAATTCTAATGATCAGCCAGGTTTGAAGACCACTCAGGTGGACAGTATTTTTTGTTGTTGTTTTGTTTTCTTGGTACCAGGGATTGAACCCAAGGACACTTAACTACTGAGCCACATCCTCTTCCCTTTTTATTTTGAGACAGGGTCTTCCTAAGTTGCTTACATCCTTGTTAAGCTATTGAAGCTGGCTTTGAACCTGCAATCCTCCTGCCTCAGCCTCTTGAGCCATTGGGATAGGTGGACAGTTTTATAACAATTTTACAGATGAACAGGCTAAAGTTCATCCAATAATAGTAATGTGTTCAAGATTACATGGCTAGGTATAGTCATTATTCAAAACTACATCTTGCAGGGAAATGACTTTATCAAAAGTCTCTCTGCCTCTGGGAGATCTAATATCTAAAAAGCAAAGTTCATGGAAAGAAAAGCAGAGAACCAAGAACACAGTCCTTGAAGCCAAGGAGAATGATTAGCACTGCCAAATGCCACAGAGGGACTGTGGAGGATGTGGCATGAGGGAGAACTGGGGACAATTGACCAATGTGTCTTTAGGCCTGAGTGTGACACCAGAGGAAAGAGAAGACACTGTCCTAGCATGGCCAGGGGACTCCCTCAGGAAACCTGGCCAGCTGGAAGGAGTTATGGCTTGAGATTCAGCCAAAATCCTTCGTAGGATAGCTTTGTGTTAAGATTATTAAAGTCAAACAATTGGGTCTTTGAGTGGGATGCTAAGAAAGGGGAGAAAAGCTCAAGTAAGCTGTTGAGAAAATGCAGCCCACCGTAGACTTCCCAGGGCCACTGCCACTTCATCAGATTATTTAGGCCTTTTGCTTTTCTTTCTTCTCCTCTGTATATGTTTTGTCTTGTGCAGAGGAGTTACAGCTTTTATTAGAGAATGGAAAGGAAAAGAAAGATGGAATTCCAACCAGGATATATTAATGGCTTTTGGTAGTCCTGAATAACATTATTGAAATGAGACTGGAACCATGGCCCAGAAGAAAGATCTCCTAATTATCTGTGTTGTTTCCATTTGCCCCACTCATGCAGGCTGGTGACACCACACACAGTCAATGTTGGCTGTATGCTGTCTCACAAGGGGCAACCTGGAGGCCTGTGCAAGGTGTAGTGGATAGTTTCTTATAATCCTCTCACCACACCTGACTCAGAACCAGTGGTGGACATGAAGAAGTATCCTTTAACTAGAAAGAAGACAATGATAAGAATAATTATTTATATATATATATATATATATATATATAGATAGATAGATATAGATATAGATAGATATAGATATATATATATATATAGCCTACAAAATATGTTTGAGTACATCAACTCAGTCTTTCATGACCCTGGGAGATGAGTGTTATCCCCACATACTTAATAAGGACAGAAGTCACAATTCATACCCACCACCTCCGAGTCCAATGTTCTTTCAATTACAAACCAGCTTGCTAATTTGTTATGGGCCAAAATTCTCTTGGYCCTATTCTGGCTGCAAAGAAATTAGTGGGACTTCAAGATTCTCATTGCACTAAGAATTATGTGGTGAGGAAAGAAGGCAAACGCATTTTGTTTGTCTTTGCTGGTGGCCTTGGGCAGAGTACTGCACCTGAGCTTCAGTGTCTTCCTTGTAAAACAGAGGTGAGGGCCACCTTGAAGAATAAGGCAAAACAAAACACAATTGCTGGCACAATGGCTGGGAGGCAGTAATAATTCAGTAATGTTATCACTCTTTCATACTTCACCCCACTCCCAAGTCTTTCTGAGCCCAAAGACCTCAGAATTGAGTCTCTTTTRCTCAGGTCTTCATTGAGTGATRAGGACATAGAAGGACAGGTTGTATYRGGGCCTTAAGATCTTCTAAATCAGCCGGGCATGGTGGCACATGCCTGTAATCCCAGCAGCCTCAGGACTTAGTGGCACTAAGCAACTCAGTGAGACCCTGTCTCTAAATAAAATACAAAATAGAGCTCAGAATGTGGCTCAGTTGTTGAGTTCCCTTGAGCTTAATTCCTGGTACCAAAAGAAAAAAGAAAAAAAAATCTTCTACATCAAACACAAAGCCAAGAGATATTCTCCAAAGTCCCCATAAGATTAATTTTCCCCCTTTGGTGGATTATCCAGGTAATACCGCCCCCCCCCAATTTACCTGTAGTTCTAAGTACAAGATCTTTCAAGATCAAAAAAGGCCCTAAGTCTGGTATTCTGGAATATAACTGAAAAGGTCTTCCTTCTGTGTCTCCAAAGCCACRTCCACACCCAACATGATATAATTATAAACTTGAAGGAGAGTACTGATAACCTAGCCTTCTTCTTTCCAGGTCCCATTCTTTGAGTTCCCTTACTGTGTGGCAAAGAAGGCCAGCTCAATCACCTACACTGTTCCCCAATCTGGGAATTTAATCTCTCTTTAGGCAACTCATTTGTCCAAAGAGATCTCCCAGGAAATGTCTCTCCAAAGCCCATGAGGACCTAATTTACACAAACTGGAATTTCAAATGCCTACAGGTTCAGACAGATAAAGTAATGAATTAAGAAAGTGGGTATGATTCGGTGGAGAGTGTGGTGGTGGGGGCATGATAAACAGAACATACTAACACAAATAGCAAGGGTGCCTCACATCCACCCACAGCAGCCATTCCAGCTCCTCCGATTTTCAAAAGAGCACTCGCCTAGTACCTGCTGGGCCCTGGGTTCGATCCTCAGCACCACATTAAAATGAATGATTAGAATAAAGGTATTGTGTCAACTACAACTAAAAAATAAATATTTTTTAAAAACATACAATAACTTATAAAACAAAAACAAGTCTGCTGTCCCTTTTCACCAGCCTGTGGTCCAGTTCTGTGTTAGAGCCCTACCAAAGAAGCCCAGTAATTCCCAGCGCTTTCTTCTTTTCCAGGCCTGGCCCCTTTTTGGCTCTACCTCCTCTTCTCTCCACTCTCTGAAACTTGGGCTCACGTTCTTTACCGATCTGCTCTCCCTTCCCCATCTTCCCCCTGGAAGCTGAAGAGCTGAAGAGCTGAAGGGATGCTTTCTGACGTAGGCCCATCTTTTTCCCCTGGAAGCTCTAAGACACCTGAGAGGGGACAACGCCTCATCCTTCAGACTCCCATTCTTACTGGAGAAAAAAGATTTCATCCATGGGAACTCAGGGGTAGATATAGATATGGGGGACACCTCTCAGAAAATCTACTCTCCCAGTTGGTTAAAGGGTGAAGAGAGGCCTGGGTTTGGAAAAGTGACAGAGCTGTGTGGTTTCTGGCTGAGAAAACCGGGTCGTTTAGCCACTCTTGGCTCCAGGCACTTCCAAAGCACTTCTCCCTGAGAGGCGCGGAAATCTTAAGGCGGCTCCTACGCAGAAGACCCAGCCTGGGCACCCAAGGTTGCTCGCGCGCGCAGCTGCGGTAGTCACTGCGCTTCCCCGCCCCCGCTCCCGGATGCCCCCCTTCCCTCTCCAGGCCCGACCCGAAGCAGGAGCTCCGCCCCCAACGCGTTGTCCCAGCCCCCGCGCCTTAAAACCCGGTGCACACCGCCCCGCCGCGCCCAGCCTGCCGCACCTCTAGCGTCCTCAGTAGCTCCAGCTGCAGCCGCTCTCCAGGCCCTGATCCTGGCACCATGAGCTTTGGTTCAGAGCATTACCTGTGCTCCGCCTCCTCCTACCGCAAGGTGTTCGGGGACAGCTCTCGCCTGTCTGGGCGTCTCTCTGGGACTGGCGGCGCGGGCAGCTTCCGCTCGCAATCACTGTCCCGCTGCAATGTGGCCTCCTCGGCCGCCTGCTCCTCGGCCTCGTCGCTTGGCTTGGGCCTGGCCTACGGCCAGCTGCCGGCGTCCGACGGGCTGGACTTAAGCCAGGCGGCAGCGTGCACCAACAAGTACAAGATCATCCCCACCAATGAGAAGGAGCAGCTGCAGGGCCTCAACGACCGCTTCGCGGTGTTCATCGAGAAGGTGCACCAGCTGGAGACACAGAACCGCGCACTGGAGGCCGAGTTGGCTGCGCTGCGGCAASGCCACGCYGAGCCGTYGCGCGTGGGAGAGCTCTTCCAGCGCGAGCTGCGCGACCTGCGCGCGCAGCTGGAGGAGGCAAGCTCGAAGCGCTCGCAGGCCCTGCTGGAGCGCGACGGCCTGGCCGAAGAGGTGCAGCGGTTGCGGGCRCGCTGCGAAGAGGAGAGCYGCGGGCGCGAAGGCKCCGAACGCGCCCTGAAGGCACAGCARCGCKACGTGGACGGCGCCACTCTGGCCCGCCTGGACTTGGAAAAGAAGGTGGAGTCGCTGCTGGACGAGCTGGCCTTCGTGCGCCAGGTGCACGATGAAGAGGTAGCTGAACTGCTAGCCACGCTGCAGGCATCKTCGCAGGCCGCGGCTGAGGTGGACGTGGCTGTGGCCAAACCAGACCTGAGTTCAGCGCTGAGGGAGATTCGCGCCCAATATGAATCCCTGGCCGCTAAGAACCTGCAGTCAGCCGAGGAGTGGTACAAGTCCAAGTTCGCCAACCTGAACGAGCAGGCGGCGCGCAGCACCGAAGCCATTCGAGCCAGTCGCGAGGAGATCCACGAGTATCGGCGCCAGCTACAGGCACGCACCATCGAGATCGAGGGCCTGCGCGGGGCCAATGAATCCTTKGAGAGGCAGATCCTGGAGTTGGAGGAGCGGCACAGTGCGGAGGTGGCCGGCTACCAGGTAAGGGCCGGAGCGCTGCAGAGGGAGAGAAAACCTGTCCTCTCCCGTGCATACCTGCACTTCCCGTAAAATGGGGGCCATAGTAAACAAGGGAGTGTAAGGAAGTGGAGAGAAGAGCCTCGACTGGAGGCCCTGGCAAACAAAAAGCTCCACTGTGAACTGTTAGGTAGCTCTCTTCCCAGCCCCTCAATTATGTTCCCTGTCCCGGCCCTTCTAACAAAGAAGCCCTTAAACTTCTTTGGAGTTCGAAAAATCCAACCATGCCTTTCCGTCAGCAAGTGGACACATACATACTGGCGACCTGGAGGACAGTCTCCTTTCCAGAGTAGAAGAGAGGCAGGTCACAGTTTCTCCATGGGCCCGACTGTGCCTCAGCTTCTTTTATTGTTTGTTTAATTCTTTTATTCATTTTGTATGCTTCAGTTAGTGTTGGCAACTGGGAAGGGACCCATCCCATTTTCATGACTCTTGCCCTCAAAGGAGTACGGATTGGGGACGGAGGAACTGGATTGTGATTGAGCTAGTAACCCCGCTCTACCCTTCCCCCACACCCCCGCCCCATTGTTTTGAGTCGACCTATTGATGACATTCGCTACCTAAAGAAAGCTTTACACCACTTAGCAGACGAGGGAAAAAAAAAAAAAAAGGCTAGGGCGCTGTCCGTGGTGCTGATCTCGTGTTCCTCCCATCTTAGAAACAATGTCTCTCCTATCCCGTGTCCCAGTTATGAATCTCTAGGCAATTAACTGCTTTGATTTCTTTTTCTTTCTTTCTTTTTTTTTTCTTTTTCAATACCAACACACCAGTCTTGGTTATCTGCAATCAAAGGTCACCTAGTGGACAACATAAATTTTTACTTTCATGGATGGCTAGGCACTTAAAAAAAAATCTCCTCAGTAACTGTGAGGTCCCACTTAAAAATTATCATTACCTTAACAGTTTTGCGTCTAAACCACAGAGATGGTTTCTTTGTTATAGGCGACATTTTTTTTTTCATCTCCTGCCCTATAAGCSCTTGTGAAGGTATTGATTGGCTCTTTCCTTCCAACAAAGACCACTGCATCTTCAGTTTTACTACACAGGACCTTCTAGGTTTATGGCTACAGAGGGCATAGGCAGGATGCAGGGCAAATGAAAAATATAGAAAAGAACAAAATAGTGTGGTTCATTCTCAAGGTACAATGAAGAGTTCTTGGAATAGAATGTCCACAATTTGGAAACTTGAAATAATCTAGTTAGAATACATTACATTTGATAAGATTAACAGGGTTTGGGAACATTAATAAAGTAGAACTGAGAAAAAGCATGATATCCTAAAAGTACTATTTTTAGTAAGAAGTTAAAGAATTATTGATGTACAGGTAGTTGCTATTCATTACAAAGAACTCCTTTTGATAAAAGAAGAAAGCCAGCCTGGACTGTTTGGTTAGCTTCGTATTATAGTATTACTCAAATAAATACTTCAATTCTGTTTCAAAATGTGTAACGTGAACTTTTCACTATGTGTCCCGCACCTACCCCCCCCCCCCGCCATGATGTGAATTAATCAGACTCATGTAAGACTTCATGTCTTCTTCCAGAAGCCTCAAAGGTTAAACTAGGTGGTCTTCTGGAAAGAGTGCCCAGTATTTGTACAAAAAGGCTAACAGCCCAAACTGTTAGCTGACTTAGGCTTTGCCAGGTACTCTGTTTGCTTGCTTTAGCCCCTACATTCAGGAGGCAGTGCTAGTGTTTTCTGGCTTATTTGCTCTAAAAGGCTTTCCATGTTAGACAATAGTAGGATCATCCGACCTGGTGTGCAAGAAACAAAAAACAACAGAAATTGCAGCATCTGCAGCTCTGCAGTGCTGTTCCTGACAGCTGTAGTCTTCAGAGACTCAGTGGACCCACCCCTAGGTGTGGAAGAGGAGTTCAGACAACAGAGAGCTATTTCCTACCCTTTGAGATTTAAGGTTGGGGTGGGGCTCACAGTTTAATCTACATATCCAGAAGTCCTAAAGCTTCTGACTGTTCTCTCTGTCAGTCTTAGTACTGACCAAGGTGAAAAGCCTCCCTCTTCCTTAGTAAGATCCAGCCATTGTTTTCCTGCCCTCTCACCCCACCCCACCCCAACCCCTTTCACTGCAGTTATGAGAAGCTGTTCTCTTCTGCTGCAGATATTGGTAGTAGACCCACTTTCCTTTGCAAGCTTGGTAACCCTCTCAGGGACACAGGAAGGCCCCATTAAAGTCAAGCTTTCTTTGCCCCAAAGAGCTGATAGCCTATTTGAGGAGAGAAAACTTATGACACTTTTGAAAGGGTAAAAAATGATTCAAGGTGACAAAATAAGTACTCAATAGTGGATGAGAGTCTGAACCAGGCAGAAGAGATTAGAAAAAGCTAGGGCTATTGTCTTCAAAAGCCAAATGCAGCCACCCTTTGCATGGAAAGTGTAAGGCCTGTTCATTTTTGACAGGGTAATTTTGATCCCTGCATGGTTGCTACACTACCATTAAAGTCCCAGTTGTGCTAAAGATGTGTAAAAACACTCCTAGAGGGTACTCAGGGTCCCAGACCTGAACTATGGCCAGTCTTAGAAAGCCAAAGCTTTCCTTGAAAGACCTTGCTGAACAATCAGGATCACTGCTGGTTAATGCTCTCCAGGGAGAACAGCCAAGTCTGCTTTCTTCTCTCCAATATGAGATTGGAGTATAGCCTAATTAAATAGCAGGAAGGGTCTGGCCCCAGGGAGATGGAGGTGACAGTGGCTGCATATAAATCTATAGTTTGATAGATCTATTTCTTAAATTGGAATTCAAGGGAAAAGAAAGGTATATTTGGTCTTTTTAAAAAGCTGTTTCACTGTTACTGTCATCTGGACCACTATGATATCTCCTTTACAAAAATATTTAAACCAGTAGTTCCTAAATCTAGTGACTCACCAAGGTCAAGTAGGAGCTTTAAAAAAAGCTGTAATTTCTGTTGTTTTTTGCACAGGATGTCTAGATGACCCTACTATTGTCTAACACAGAAAGCCTTTTAGAAAGATCCTTGGGCCCACTCCCAAACATATGGAGTCAGTGGTTCCCAATGGGTCCAGAAATAAACATTTTCACTAAAAGGGCTGCATCCTTTACTGAAAGGATTGGTCCTCAAACTAATTTTGGAATGCACTCACCAAAACCACATATTCCATTAAACTAATTTAAAGAGATTACTTATAATACAGGATTTTTAAAATGTGGTGTAAGAAAGAAAAAGAAAGACGTGGCTGAAGCAAAGAGTGAGAATAAGGAATGACAGTACATCATGGGTGGACCACATTTAAAATTCCTCTCTTACCACCTAAATTGATTATGCAGAACAATAACTCTGGATGATCCCTTTCAATCAGACTGTGCTGCATTCACTACTAATCATCTGGCTGAGGGGCCCCCAAAAGTGATGAAATCCACTGCACTGTCTCTCTTCACTGCAGATGCTAGTGTGGCTCATTCTTTTTCCTCCTCCAATCTGCATCCTTCCAGCCTTGGGCCAGATGCTCTTCAGTTGTCTAAACTACTCTGGAAAGAGACCTCAGCTGGAATAGGGTGTGCCTCTGGGTCCCTTGGGCTAAGCCAGCAGCAGCTGCGTGGTTGGGGGAGGGGGCAGACTGCAGCACTCTGCTCAGATTTCGAGCTGGAGGCCATCTTGGCAGGGCTTTTGAAGGGCAATGCAAGACACAGGCTGGTGTGGGGAGGAGTGTGCAAACAAAGGGGGCTACACGTTCATGAGCCATTAATGGTCAGCAGTTAGCCTCTTCATGAAGAAGCCAACTTGTGCTTTTTGTCCATTCTGATCCACAAAATAGATGTGTGAAATGTATAACATAAAACTTCCTGAAATCTCGGGGCTGGGGTTGTGGCTCAGTGGTAGAGTGCTCACCTAGCATGCGTGAGGCACAGGGTTCCTCAGCACCATATAAATATAAAATAAAGATATTGTATCCACCTAAAACTAATAAATAAATATTTTTTAAAAAATTCCAGAAATCTCATCCATCTAGAACTTAGCTCCCCAGCAATCTTTCATTTAGAAAACACAACTATTTAACAATTTTTTTTAAAAAAAGACCTCGTTAACCTGATAAGACAAAATAGCATCTCCACATCACATTTTGTGAAACTGACTTCTTTGATACCCTCAGCCTAATCATTCTTTATGTGATTCTAAAATGCTTTTGTGTTTGGGTTTCAAACCTGCAGCAGGATAGAGAAGGGTGACCACTGTTGTCAGGCATTGTCAAAAATGAGTAGCCAGCAGATCAGGGTGTCTTTGAGGACAAAGAAAACCAATAAGCAGCAACTTGAGTTCAAATACTGATCTTTGGGGTTGTTTAGGGTATAAATAGCTTGAGATACCTAAATGACATTATAGAATTATAGAAAAATGATTGTTTTCATGATGCTTAATTGCCAAGAAGGTTGCATTATGTTTACTATCTTATTTGTGAGTAGTATAAGCCACTTTAGAAAGGTTTCAATTGAAAATTGTTATTTTTTTAAAAAAAACTTGATGCTTTAAGAGATATGCAACCACTCTCCAAAAGTACAGTTTGTTATACATTAATATTGTATACTATTATATTCATTTCTTCATTACCTAAGAGGATGTAGGGATAGATCATTATAATTTGTCCATATCATCAAAAGAGTAAAGTCACATGATGTGTTATTAACAATAACAAAAATCACTAGCATTGACTATTATGTGCCATGCTATTCTAATGAGTATTATCTAACTTAACAAGTAATAGACTCCTCATGTATTAATGTAAGATGGATTAAACTAGAATCTTGACTCTTGGAACAACTTGGAAAAGAGTAAACACTGTAATTTTCCCTATTTAAAAAAAAATTCATAATTTGCCAAGTGCAGAAATGGAAGGTTAGAAGAAACTAAAATGTAGAAAACTAACACTGAATGTTAGTGCCAGGGCAAACATGTAGGCCAAAGATCCCACTGAAATCTTCCTCTCTCTTCCTCATAATGCATTTCTCTTGCTCTTTTGCATAATAAAAATGTCCTCATTCCTCCCCCTTCTCCTTTTTTCCTCGCCCTAGACTTCTTTCTCCATTGTTATAGTAATAGCAATTCTTACTCCTAATGCATCACTAGCAGACTTGCTTGCATCGTTGTCCAGTGTTATCTGAATTTCCCCCACTGCTTATCTGTCAATCTTTGTTTTATTCCCATCAGTCAGTTGAGATTCTCTTTTGCAGTATACCTGTTAATAGTTATATAACATGTGGGTAGCATGGATTTTTAACTCTTTTTACAAATTCTCTTGGTTTGGAAGTTTGTACCCCCTTGAAGGATCAGACCTGCCCTTCATCATTGCTTCATCATCCACTTCAATACTGGCTTTCTTGAAGTTTCTGACTTGTTTATCTGCATAAAATCACTGTGTTTTTCCTGTCAACAGAGTTGGAGCTGAATTAATGGCCTATTTGATCACATTTTTTCAGGTCTTAAGAAAAGAAGTAATGGGGTTRGGACTGTAGCTCAGTGGCAGAGCACTTGCCTAGCATGCRTGAGGAACTGGGTTSGATCCTCAGTACCGCATAAAAATAAACATAAAATAAAGGCATTCTGTTCATCTACAACTACAGAAATTTTTTTAAAGTACTTACATAGCATCATTCATTCATTCATCTATCACTCATTGAGCATTTACATTGTATTTATGCCAGGATCTGAGTTTCTAGGGGTGAGCTAGACAGAAAGGATCCCAGTCACCATGTTAATTACATTTTTGGTTGTCACAACTGGGATAGAGGGTGTGTGCCTCTGACATCTAATAGGTAGAACCACTGATGTTGGTAAACAAGATAATTTCCTATAAAAAGCTTTCAAGTTTTTTCTAATTTGTCCTCCTTTTGAAGGTACATATTTGTAATTTGCCCATAGTTTCTGCATGGCCTAGGAGCTACCCTGGCTGGAGGTCAGGTAATGTGCTGGATTGGTAAAGGGAGGGTACTTAAATTGAATGCAAAGGAAGAACTATCTAAGGAAATAAACTTTGAGCTGAATCTTACATAAGATGTTGGTAAAGATCCAACATATGGCTCTCTAGGCAGAAGAAATTGCAGGCCTAAAGGGCCTGAAACAGCAATGAACTTGGTATGTTCAGTGAACAAAAGAAAAGCCAGGGAGCAAAAGGAAGAATGATCTCATGCTGAGGAGTTTTCAGTAGTCACTGAGTAGCAGACTTCCAGGAAACCATCAAGACCAGCAAAGGCATGGAGTGGTAGCAGAGAAGGAGGGCTGTTCTCTCTGTAGTTTACACAGTTGGAATGTCCTGAATCTAAGCTCCTAACCTGATGCTTCATGTTTTGAAAAGGAAATGAATAGTGGAGTTACTCAGCACCAGTACAACAAGCAATGGAGGGATGATAAATATTTTTTTAAAAAAATTATTTCAGTGTCCCCTGCGTACCATGTGCCTCAGGGTAGAAGTTCCTAAACCTCACCATGCATCTGAATCTCTTGGAGGCCTCTATGAAAAAATGCAAATGCTTGAGTCCCACCCCAGAATAAATGAGTCAGAATCTGAGCTGAGAGACACATCTGTATGTGAGTATTTTATACGTTGCTTAGGTGGCTTTAATGTGTAGTGGGGGTGGAGAATCCTTTGCCTTCAGGAAATTTCAATGAATTTCAGCAACTGTGCCCTAAATATTTTGGATATGTTACTTTTCAGGATAGCATTGGACAGCTGGAGAATGATCTGAGGAATACCAAGAGTGAGATGGCACGCCACCTTCGGGAATACCAGGACTTGCTCAATGTCAAAATGGCCCTTGACATTGAGATAGCAGCTTACAGGTACTTCAGAGGGCATGCTTACCCAAGCAAAGCACATACTTACCTGGGGGCAATGCTACTCAAATAAGTGGTTCTAGTCTCTGTGGTTTCTGATCAGCGGAGGAGGATGAAAAGGGACATCAGTGGCTTCTTCCAGGCAAACTAAGCTCCTTGTCCCTCTACCTCGATGTATATCCCAGCTTTACCTTACTAGTCTTAGAATATTTTTTATAACCTCTGCCAAGGATTTAAGGGGATAATGGAGTACACAGAAATAAAAATCCATCAGATTCTAAATTTAAAAATAGAATTTACATACACAGAAAGCCCTAAAAGGGAACGTTTCTCCCTGTATTCCTATTCAAGTGAACATTACCTTTAAAAAAAAAAAAAAAAAAGAATGTAATTATAAGCCAAGCATGGTGATGGGCATGGTGGGATTATACATGTAATCCAGGTTGCCTGGGAGGCTGAGGCAA